GGCTCCCAGCCCCCACAGAGTGCTCCCTCGGGGCCCAGTGTCCCCTGGCTGCCTGCTGACCATCCAGAGATGTTCACGGTGAGGCCTCACCCAGGTGGCCTTCACAGCCGGCCCTCTGCACCCCAGAATTTTTCTCTCTGGACCTTCATTACCATCGAAACGGATCTGTCTTAAGTAGCCTTCCTAGGGGGCTCTGCTGGATGTTCCAAGTTGAGCCGCAAAATGAATTCACAGGGAGGTGATAATGGCCAGGAAGCTTTAACGTGACACCCTCTACGGTGTGTACAGACACACTAGCGTCTCCCGGTGACAAGTCAAGGAGCCACGAGTAGTGGACATACTAGGCTCTGCCTCAGCCCGAGACACTGACGATCGGTTCTGGAATCACCTCTCAGGTTTTACCACCGAACCTGTTTCTCCTGTGAATTTAAAGAGCCCAGAGGAGGTGTGATGGGGCCAGGCTAATAGATGTTCCAAAGATGGAGTTTTTTATTGTTTGCTCCAACATGCAGAGCTCTTGTTAATACAGTGAATTGTTGGAACTCTTGAAAAGCGGGGCGCCATGGAGTAACTGAGCGAGGGACATCTTGTTTTTGTCTTTTCTAAGCTGGCCGCCGCCGCTGGCAGAAACTTTGGAGCGTGTGGGCGAAGGTGGCAAGAATTAGAAAGAGCAGATGCTCGTGGGACTGTGTCAAAGGGGCAAAGTAGAAAAACACGAAGCAGCCCAAGTTAGCAGCACGGAGCAGAAATCGGAGGGCTGAGACGTGCTGAGGCTCTAGCCTCTGCGAACCCCAGGAGGGCCCAAGCAGGTGGCTTCCTGCCTGCGAGACGGAGCAGACCTTTCTCTGCGATCCCCGGCAGCCAGGAATGATGCTGAAGCTGGGGGGTGGGGGTCGCCTCCGGGGCACACTGCAGCCGCCGGCCGTCGAAGAGCACCGGCGGTTGTTGTAGGCGTTTAACCACCCACCTGACAGCGATGTTGGAAACAGAACCTGGGAAAGGAGGGAGGTCTGCCCCCAAATCAGATTGCCGGGCCATCTGGTGTTGCAGCTGACCTGAAAACAAATCCCGCGAATTTCAGACCTGCGTCGCAGCTGGCGCGGGGCAGTCTGAGAGACAGGTGGTTCCCTGAACAGCTGTCCATCCAGCTAGGGCAGGCAGGAAAGAACATTCCAGCCCTGTTGAACCTTCATGGGTTTTCTGGGCTCTAGAGTCACTCCTTGACCTTTTACCACAATCATTAATCACCATCTCAGGGCAAACACTAACGATATTTCTCCCTTCCTTTGTTGAAATTATCTCTGCAGGTCAGTGATGCTAAGGTTTTAAGTGAGAATATCAAGTGATTGATGGATAAGAAAGGCTGGGTGTTAGCTGGGAGAGTACTCACAGGAACAAGAGTCTCTGAAACACATTCTTATTCTGGAAGTGTCCAGACTCAGGTCCCATCAGGGGAATAACACGAATTGCTGTGTCTAAGATGACGATTGGAATTGCCGGTTCTGTATTTCTGCTGCGAATTTTTGATAACTTAATCAAACACTATTTTTATTAAGTGAATGAGTATATGTTCTCAATGAAGTGCAGAACATTTTTATCCCCCAAAATATAAAGAATAGTTGTGACTCTTAAAAAATGTATTCTGAATGAAACACATTGGTTCTATATCTATGTAGGGTGTTTGGGGGGTGGGGGGCGGGGGTTAGGCAGACCAGGTTTTTATTCACTGATTTAGAGGTAATGCAACTAAAGTAACTGAGTTGTGGAGGAAGTAAGATTTTTTCCACTGAGTCATTCAGGAACCAAACGTGTGAAACTGAAAGGAGAGTCTTTGGGTGAGAGTCCCCGAGAATCCCCATGTTTGTGCCGATAGTTCATTGCAAGTTGGGGCAGAAATTCAGCCTGGACTCTACTCACCCAGCCCCGGGGCTGTGCCCACCTGGAGACAGGACACTTCTTTCAGAGGTTCCAAGTTTGCTGGCCAACATGGTTCTGGTGGAGCCAAGCTGTTGGGTTGGGGGTCAGTGAGCAGGGAGGGAGGTGTATCGCAGCTGTCATCCAGGATATTCTTCTGTGTGTTACAACTGGAACTAGAACTTTTATTGGCCTGATCTTGAAAAGCCTTTGTTTAAATGAGTCCAGAGTAAAAGCCTTAAGAGCTTAGCACAGTTGGAAGATGATGTGTAGTTAGAAACTCCTGTCAGTTGCACAGGCCAGGTGGACCCTGGATGAAACTGGAAAAAGTTTGAGATGTTGGAAGGAGTTTGAGGTTTGGAGCATCTTTCCATCTCCCCTCCTGTACGTTGGACTCCCCTCTTCAATCTCTTCCTTTTTCACCCTGTCCCACGCTGCTTGGACGTCAGCTTCAAACTTGCCCTTCCTCAAAACAAAACAGAACACAGAAACCACCTTCTGTTCACTAAGAACCTTGTTCAAGAGGGAAACACTTTAAGTTGCCAAATGCATACTAAAGTGTAAATGGCTAGGGACAATTAAAGGGTGCCTTCCTCAAGGGTAGCCTTTTAATACTTAAATAGCAAGTGAACTGCACCTTCCTGGTGGGATTTCAGGCCGTAGGAAATGGTAGGGATGTTGTCTGAGTGTTGAAGGCAGGAGAGGAGTCTTTATTCCTGAGTCCAAGCTGGCCCAACATACAGGAGTCCCTCAGTCGACACCATTTGTTTCCCACTGCTTTTATCTTATCATGTGTGTCGTTCGCCATTTTCAGTTCCCCTGTCGTTCCACTGTTCTTTTAGGCCAACCTGAACTTTTCCTTCTTAGCTGAGTGTGGTCCTGCTGGCCTTTGTTTTCCTTCTCCTGAGATCATTCTTCCTTAACTGCCTTCTGTCCAGGCAAGCAAACTGCCTTATGACTTCTCCATCCTAAATCTTCTGTTTGTTTACAGGTCACAACCCCAAAATGTAAAGCATCTTGAAGACTTTTCAAGCAGACTTGAAAGCATCACAGTCTGCCCCCTTTTTTGAAGCTTCAGTTACTGTATTTGAATTTCAGAGCTCTTTCTTTGCTTCTTTATCTGGAAGCCAACCCCATAAGCCTAGGACAGAGAAAGGAGAACTTACTGAGAGTCTGGCTGGGAGAAGCTTTCAGAAGACAGAGGTGGTATCTCCCTGTTTTTCTGTCTGTATCAAGCCTAGTGAAACATGGTTGGTATTTTTCTTTCTCTCAAAGTGATTACAGTGGGTTCTGGAAACTGGGACTTGCTCTATTTAAAATCATTCCTTGACTTGAAGCAATTTCTATAGCTTTTCTGGGCTTGTGTTATGCCAGTGAAGCTAAAACTCACATGTTCGTTTGATCAGTTCAGTTAAACATCTACCACTAGGAAGCCTGGCCAAATGAACTGTGGTCAGAGAAGTCAAATAGCTGAAGTGGAAAGCTGATACAAAAATGATCAGTCTGTCCATCTGTGATTCTTCAAAGCCACTTCATAATTTTCATATCCCCCTCATCATGCAAGTGATACCATTTAAGAGTTTCCAATCCTTGGATGCATGGAGCTTTTTAAATGCCAGGAAGCTATGATCATGTTCTCCTTTGGAAAGTGAAGGTTTTGCATAGTTAATCTTGATAGGTTCCAAGTTTCTTCCCCCAAATAAGGAAGAAGCATCTTAGCTGTATTTCTGAATGCCATACGGCTGCTATTGTACCTTAGTTTCTCTTCCTCCTTTGACTGAGGTTTTCTTTTGAAAAATAGCTGCCAGTTGATAACTCTTAACCTTGGGTGGTTTCTGGTGCCCACTTCCCGCTCTCCAGCTGAGCCCCTGTGTTGTGCTCTTGGTCTTGTTTACATCATTCCCCTGAATGGGACCAACGCTGGTGCCTCAGTGCCGTGAATTTTTCTCTAGTGCTGCCTGCGTCTGAGTACCTCTCCAAGCTCTCCCCTTTCCTCTCCGAGCACTGGGATCCTTCAGTAGAGTCAGGATGAAATATGTACGTCTCTCTGCTCTTAATTCTCAGCCCAACTCATCCAAGACAGCCCAGGTCAGAGGCAGCACCTTTTTCTTTAAATTTACAAACGTTTTGCCCACCCTCTTTTGCCAAGCCTGGTTATGCTAAGAAACTATATGCTAATTAACAGATTTTTAACCGGTATCTTTATCTGGTTTAACCACATTTGTTAACCAGTATCTTGAGCTGCAGAAGAAGGGGTCAGGCATCCTTCAGAATGCAGAAAGAATGGACAGAGGTTTCAAGGCCATTTTCTTTGGGGGAAGGACTTGGCTGGGAAAAGGGTATATGCTGGTCCCTCTTGGAGGAGCCATCAGCCTAGACTCCCGTCAGCTCTTGGGCATGAGACCAGGTTGGTGGACCACTGCCATACTTAATACTGGGGACAGAGGCTGCAAACATCTGTTTAAGCATATGTCCACCATATCACTGCTTCCTTTCTGAACTGGTTGAAATAGAGTCGTTCATTTCAGCAAACAAATGTTGAGCATTTCACAGACGGTACTTTGCCTTATATACTGTGGGGCAGATAAAAGAATAAAACACTACCTCCACTCTTAGGAAACCTATCGTCCAGTTGCCTAAGCCTTTGAGCTGAGAAATTGTTTTGAAAGTGTGATGTTGCAAAGATATCCTTTAAGAAAATTCTAGTTAATGTCAGTTTCTGCTATTGTTCCTGGGATTAAACCCTTCTCTTTGGTCTTAGCTGCACCACGAGTCCCACGAACAGCTCACCCACCACCTCCCACCCGTTTTCCTAAACCGCTGTATTCCCGGTCGTTGGTGCACAGTTATGAATTGATTCCCCAACGTGGGCAAAGCTAATAAATATGATTTAGGATGAAAGGCGCCGTGGAAATGCCTGAGATGTTGTTATTACTGTTCCCGCGCACTTTATTTTTAAATTGTGCATCCTTTTAAGTAGATTACTTGTTCGCGGCAGTCTCCATTATATCGAAGCGAAGCATTCACAGCAATTTCTAAAAACCTTTTCATTTCTCTCTGTAGGTTGTTGTTTCGTAACATTTTATACAAGAAAAGCTGCACTTGAGGCCCAGAATGCACTGCACAATATTAAAACTTTACCTGGGGTGAGTCGGTTTACTTTTGTACCAAAATCACTTTATTGCTTGAAAATGGTCCTTTCAACTGAAGGTTCTCGTGATGGGCTCTGAGTGCCAAAAAATGACTTTGGTCTTTGGAGGGAGGGTATGCTGACCCCACCAGCCCCCTGTGGCAGCCGAACCAGCGGCCCAGCCCCTGAAGAAGCACTAGCACTGATGCTGAAGGAAAAACCTCTCAAATAGCATGTCCCCTGGCTAGGAAATCAGAGCGGCCCCACTGGGCGGCAGCAGCTGCCAAAGGGTATTGGGTGGGCCACGATTTTGAAAGGAGTGGGGGAGAAAACTTGACACACATGAGAGGGGCAAATGGAAAAAGAAAAGCTTTTACTCACCAGGAGCCTCTTTTCAAATTTAGTCCTTAGATTTTCTTTTGAACGGACAAAATGTATCCTGCACAGCCATAATATTAAAACCTTCTAATGGTTTCTACACAGTCGATGGTGGTTAACAAAGGCAATGTTTTAATGCCCAATTGGTGCCTGCATGTTGTTAGAGAACAGAAAATACAAAGCTTGCATTTTCTTCCCCATTTCCTTCCCATGCGCAGTACATTCTCTAGAAATGAACTGATGTTGGCTGTAGCTACGTCACCCGAATGCAGGGTTTCTGGGGCTTTGTGACCATTTTAGGTAGTGCGTTCTGGTATGCTGTTGGGCTCTCTTCCCCGCTGACTCAAAGATCACTGATGAGTTAATTTAATATCATAATGATGTGTGTTAGTTATTATAAAGAAGAGCCTCTGGTAAGCAGTGCTGTGGGAATGATTGTATGGAAACCTGATTTGCTGAGAATAAAAGAAGATAACGTGATGTCCCTAATGTTTTCATCCTTTATCTGTCACACCAACCTATGCACACTACTCACTTCTATACCCCATCACCCCCAGGAAAGATAGCATTGGTGTAATTCACCTTAGATCCATTGAAAAGTTTATAATGTTTTAGTGGCAAGATAGTCAACAGAAGGTTTTCATAACAGCTTCATAAAGACCCAAAAATAGTAAATTATGAACCGCGGTCTCAAATCACACCCCTTTGGTTTTCCCCTTTTTGTGTGAGCAAATCTGAGAGAAGGTGGTTCAGAAAAGCAAGTGTGTGATACCAGAATTCTCCCTCCCAGTTCAGTTTAACTACTTCTCCCTGAAACTTCTAAGGTGGTTTTTTGTGAAGGAGTTTTTACTGGGTCTAAGTGCCTTGCTTAATGATTTTTTTTAAAAAGCTATTATTTCAACTTTATTCTCTGTATCAATGGAATTTTTCCAATGTAAATGCTAGCTAGGATGATGTAGTTTAGGTCACATTATAGAATGAAGCATCCAAAGGCAAATAAATATTGACCAGCTTTAGCCAATGGTAGGAAAAAAAATTTTTTTTTATTTCCCAGGGTCCTACTCCAACCCAAAGACCATTTTGTATTCCTTCTTTTAAACAGAACTACTTTATAGTAATTAGCATGCAAAATCCCTTCTAGGTGTGTTTTAAGAAATTAGTTGAGATGATGAACTGTTACTTAGCATTTAGGGCATATTGAGGCCAAATCACATCCTATTTCAGATCAGTGCAAAGCTTGGTGAATTTGCATCCATCCTGTCCATTAGGAGTACAGCTCCCAACATGTCATTTTCACATGTGAAGATGTTCTCAAGAAACCGAGAGTTAATCTGATGAATGGACCATGTTGCAAAACATACAAGTGACTGATGAGGACGCTTCTGTTTGGGACATCTTATTCTGACCCTTAGCAAACTTACAGCATCTTCTGTATTTAAAAAAGAAGTTACCCTCGTCTCTTTTTCTTTTAAAAATTCTGCAGACGTCAGGGATGGTGAATTTGGAAACCTGTTATTAAGGACAATAATTCTAGGGTTGGAAAAGATGGTTTGCGGGTTGTTTTTGGCTTTCTTTTTATCCAGTTCAGTTTCCGATGCCCAATGACTGGAGGTGGGTGAAATGAAAATTTGGAGAAGTCAGGTGAGATATGTAGGCACCTAGCCTTCACAGAATGCACACTGTTGCTACATCTGCCCCTTCAAATTAGGTGAATGGGAAAAGAGTTCCCTTCCTGCGTTTATGTGTTGCTTTATCTGATCAGCCTCACCCTGAACAGCTCCAGGAAGAACACGAAAGTGATTTCGTACCAGCTGGGAGCTTTGGTGGACAGGAAGAAATGGGACCAGACGTAAAAGATTAATGCATATTCTTGGGGAAAAAAATATTACAGGGTGCCTTGCTGTTTGATTACAAGCCTTGGAATTAGTCAACATTTCCATAATTCTAAACCAATATACACCTGTTTTCCCACTGTGATGTGAAGGCACAACTTAATTTAACAGAATCCCTGCTGTGCTAAATCTCTCATTAAATACCAAGTGAGTTCGGTAGTTTAAAGTTGCAGCACTGCTATTTTAACTGGTTGCCTCCATATTATGAAATTAATAAGAAATTAATGATGCACTTTGCCATATGCCTTCAATTTCTTTCTGAATAAAAATAAAAGGGATAAAGAAAAATGCACCACCAGCTGACACTTGAAAGCTTTTCTGGTTGTAATCATTTCTCCTGCAGATAAAAATCCATTAAAAAAGGCACTTGCTGCCTTTTTTTTTCCCCCCTAAAATGTCCAAAACTTTCCATTTAAAGCAAGATCAAATAGTGCTGGGTGTCTGGTGGTTGTGTTTTTTTTTTTCCTACTTAATTTTCTTTTGCAGTTGATGTTTTGTGTTGTACAGAACTTTCATCATGCAGCCCAACATGGTGAATGTTGAGGGACCATCTTTCATCTTGAGAGAAACAAAGAGCTTGGTTTGTGTGGGAGAGGAAGAAAAGCTGATGGGATGGTCTTTTATGCAGTGGAATGTGTCTGCTCTTAGATTTTTATTTAAAGGCACCTCTCCTCTCATGTCCTCTATAAGTTATGGAGACCCTTTTTGTGGAGGATGGTGGGGTACAGGGTGAAGCACCAGGGCCGTACTCAGCAGGGCAAAGTCATTAAGGACATATTTGTCAAGCCTGTCTTTTACCATATGACTGAAAAAATCACAGGAATGCTCAACATAAATCCTAGAGACACACTGTTAGAAACTAAGAGAGAAGATTGATCAGCTCATCACCTGGAGCAAGAAATGAGGGTCGGGAAGTAGGGGGTGGTCCTTCCCCTGGTTCAATCACTCTCTACTCCAGAAATGGTAGTGTGACGCTTAAACCACAGATCAAATCTTAGGCATGGCGCCTAATTCATTACTGACACTTCATTAGGTTGATAAATCATGCTCTTTGGGTACCTACAGTGTGCCAGGCAGCCAAGCTGTACAATGACACACACACCTTTGAGATCCCTAGTGAGTTCGTGGCCACGTCTGTGTGGAAAGGGGCTCCTTGATGAGCCATTGGCCTTGGTACAAACTTGTTAGATTTTTTCCACTGCTGGGCCATTTGTGCTCTTAGACAAATCTTGATTGCCTCTCCTTTGACCAAAAGCAAATCAGGCTGAGAGCTGGCTTCCTTGGTTTAGGGTTCCGGGCGAGCGCAACCTCACTGGTAGAATTTTTCAACAGGAGTGCCATCCTCTGCTGTTCTATTTCCCAGAGAGAAAACCCCTGTAAGGCAACTTGCAAGGTGCATTTAGTTTTCACTGACCTAATTTAGCTTAATTAAAACATAAACTAAGGACCTTCATGGAGACATAGGAAGACTCCCACAGTCTCTTCAGTAATCAGGCGTCAGGGCCACATCCCCCTGTCCTATGCCTCGTGCCATTCTCCTTTTCAAGGTCTTGACATACATTGCCTCCAGCAATAAGGCTTTTCAGTGGAAAACCTACAGCAGAATCATTAGAACATTTGCTGTATAAATTAATTGAACTAAGGCTGTAATAACAGAGAGGAATACCGTTTTACAAAAGCCCTTAAATTTTAACAGCAACGAGGAATCGGAATCCAAATGTCTTGTGAAATATTAATTGCAGATTTCTGCTAGACATTTTCTCTGAGTTTGTCTGAGCTCCTTTCTTTTTAGAGTCACTCCCAGTTTTATTAAATGCAGTTTATATTAAGGAGTTACTGCCCTAAGAGCACGTTCGTTGGGCGCACTCCATGTTAGCGGTGGCAGCCGGGACCGCATGTAGATTGCAGAGATGAAAGCCAGTGGGCCTGATCCAGGAGGAGGAAGCTGTCAATCAAGTGGCCTCCTAGGACAGGCGCGCTCACCCACGTGACATCAGTGATCCCCTTGCCGGCTGGGCCTGGAAGACATCGTTCACCTGTGTGGGGAGGCCCTCCTCCCAGGTGGCCTTTTTCACACAATTCTCCGTAGAACTGTCCCCACCCCCACCCCCGTGTCCTTTAAGAGAAGAATGCTGGGGTTTAATATGCTTTATTCAGAACAGCAGTGGCTCTCACTGGGACCACCTTCAGTTTGCCCATTGTCACGCTTCTTGAGTACTGATTTTTCTCTGAACCGCCTCTTCTCATTATTAATGTGCCTTTAATGCCTTTGTTCTCCGAGCCACAAGGATTATGTTATCACCCTCATCATCATTATCATTTCTGGCAGAAAAGTCTCTCAAACCCCATCTCCTCCTATCATGGAAATTTCCCCCTAGACCATCCCATTTGAATCAAAGCCAGACGAGGCCATGCCACATGCAGGCGTTTTCCTCAGGCACCTTTGATTTTACATTGTTAGAGGGGGAAAAGAAACAACCAACACATCAGGATGAGCAGGATTGAGTCCTCAAAATCGTGTGTCCTGTGGAACCCACGGGACACCCATACCTTCATTTGACAAATATTTATTCCGTTTTTATGGTTTGCCAGGCACTGTCCTAGGCACTGGAGAATACAGTAGGTTCCATGATATTTCTAACTAAATCTTCCAAATAGAAAGCCAGCTGACATGCCTATATGTATATATATATATACATACACTTAATGTTCAGTAAATAGATCTTGGATATTGAATGCCCAAAAGAGTTGGTTCAATAAAATATTTCCAGAGGAGTGGAGTTTTATCCCCAAAATGATTTTGCCCACATGCTCCAAAATACGAGTGCAGGTTTCTGTTTCCACACGTATATAATGATAAAACCCATTTTGCACACAGAGATCTGGATATTTGTGTACATTTCTGTAGACCTACAGATACGGAGACGGCCACACGTGCACGTGTGGGTATCGATCCTGTCAAGTTCAGGAAGATGCAGCAGGGAGTGTCAGCCTCTCTTTGGCCTGCCCACACACTCCTTGCTGCCGTGTGGCCACCCTTGCTGCCTTTGACCTCGTGAGCTGTCTGATTCTTAACGTTTGTTGGTTGCTTGGTCTTCGCTTCGATTCAGGATCGTGGCTGATTCAGAGTGCGTGTATGAGGTACTTGACGACTGCCGTTTAATGGTGAGAATCTCTGCTTTTCGCCTTCTTAACAGACGAGTAGGCACTGAGCGAGATAACGTATGTAAGGCTTTCTGAGCCCCTGAAGAAATGGGCTCAGAAGCCCTTGCTTCCACTCGGCAGTTTCTGTAGGCCGGAGCTCTGCTCGGGTAGAAACCCAGCAGGTGACGTGTATTTGCTGGGGAAGGAATCAGGACGCCCATGAGGTGTGTGCTCTTCAGATGTGCCTTTGCAGAATTTGGCCAGGGCTGAAATATGCCTCAGCGGACTGCCCCAAAGCAGCTCTTTCCCTGCTGGGCCTGTGTTGTTTTGCTAGAACCTTACATCCTGCAGAAACACGAGCTGAACAAAAAGTAAGGACTTGGCTGTGGTGACTTTTTAAAGGCCTGTAATGGAGCGCGCCACCACGTGGCCGTGGAGGAGCTCCTAGGGGGAGGCTGAGGCCCCCGCCCATCCTGGAGCCAAGCCCGTGTGAAGAAGGCTCAGGGTGCAGAAGCAGCCCCAGTGGGTCTCAGTCAGGTGTGGCAGGATTGCTGGCCAGCTCATTGGTTTAGACCCAAGAAAGCTGGAGGAAGGAGAAAACCCTTGGCCCTGCCTCCCAGTCCAAAGACCTGGGAGAGTGTATTTTAATTCTTCATACAAGGCCATTGGAATCTGCCCACTTCACTCACCATGGAGCTTGACACACCACCTACGTGATGGTCGCTTCTTCTTTGGACTGGCAGGCAGTGGCTTCAGTAACTCGCATGGGCAGGCGCTGATGTATGGCTTTGATTACCTAAAATGAAAAGCCAGTTACTTTTGAAATACGGCCCCTTCCATACAAGGAGGAGTCTATAGGAGAAAGTTCGTGAGGGGTCCTCCATGGTGACAAGTTGAAAATGACTGAGGTGAGCAGTCCAGCCAGCAAAGGGTTAAAACAGGGCAGCGTACACTGTGTTTCAGTAAAAGAACTTGGGTGGTTTTGTTTTGCACACAACATGCCCTCAACTACCAGTCTGATCAAGAGGACGGTTATGAGGCTTAGCAGAGCACGGGTGCCTGGCCAGATGTGCACTGTCACCTGGGTCACCGCATGAGGAGTGCTGGTGTCTCACTGTAGCATGTGACAACATGACGGCCCAGTGGCAAAATAAAGTCATAATTAGATTTCAGGGTTTGGCATCTCTCTGTGATGTCTCAGGATTCAGTAGGGAATTGTCAGTTCACTTCCACAGGCCTCAATTCCCACAAGGTTGGTAAGATTTCAGAAGGAGATTGTGGGGAACATCAGTGAATTGGATAAAAGGGCTGGATGGAATTGCAGAGGGATTATGACAGTCCACTGAAAGGGGAAAATTGTTTTAAAAGTTGGAAAATAGGCCAAGCTCTGCCTTTAGAGTATGCGGTCTCCATGAGAATTCATTGCCCGAAAAGCTCACTGTTGTGCTGGAGAGCTTGATTGTTTCGAGAGACCGTCCGGTGGAAGTGGCTGGGGCCTCAAACTCGAGGCCACGAGAAAGCCTGTGTCGTGGGGAGATACGGGGAGAGTTGTGCCTGGAGGCCAGCATGAGAGGGAGTCCTCCAACTCCGCTGCTCAGCCAGATCTGGTCGGGTTGGGCCCAAGGGAAGCAGACCCGCCACGGGGAGGGAGGGAGGCAGGGAAGGAAGCTTCGTGCATCCTCTGCTTGTCTTAGCCGCCGACTGGCATGGTACGCGGGTGCTCAGGAAGTCTCATTAGCATTATGACATAAGCTACTAAGGCTGTTTTGATAATAAAGCAGTATTTCAGGACCCTCTCAGACTGCTCTCACTCCCCACAAGTCACAGAAATGAAAGAATAAATGATAAATAGTACCCGCGGGAGACGGCAGAAAGGGACACAGTGACACGTGTTCTGCTTTGTGCTCATTATTGTTCCTGACTGTCACTGCCTCCCACCGGCACTCGGAACACCCACCGGTGCCTCCGCCCCCTCCTCCCCCAGCACTTCAGAGCACGGGAGAGGACTTCCTCTCTTCATCCACAAAATGATGTGGTTGGACCTGAAATGATGCGCAGAGTCCTTTCCAGCCTCCTACACGTTGACTACATTAATGTCCTATTTGACTGTAAAAACCTATCTAGATGGAACGGTCGGTTAGTAGATAGGCAGGTGGGTAGACAGATGTATATGACATGATTTGCTTCCGATGTGGGTTAGTAATGGCAGGGGACTTTGTACGGGCAAATCTGGACCATTCAAGGTATGACTCCCCACTCTGAGATTTCTCTGCACATCTGCCCTCCCCTCTGGTTGAGAACCAGCAGGGGGCTTAGCGCTCCTGACTCCTCCACCAGGGAACAGAGAAAGGGAAGCAGAGGTGAGGAACACTAACGAGTGGGTCTGAGTCCTGGCTTACAGCCTTGGTCTGACAAGGGGGTTTCACCTAATGAGGCTCCGGGATGTCTGGTGGAGCTCCTTCCTCTGTTCAGTCCCTGGCCCCTGTCCACATGGATAAGTGAGTCACCTGCATTTGTAGAGGGCTTTCTGATGCTGGTTATTTGTGATCCCTTCTAAAAATATCGCAGGTGATGTATTGATAGCGTTCACCTTGCAACTCGGAGGACACGGAAGCCCCGGGAGATTAAATTAACTTCTCTGACCTCCCCTGGCAAAGCAGTGACAGAGCTAGAATTAGAAGTCACAGTTGCTGAAACTCCCCAGTAGCTTGGCCTCCTGATGGTGGATTTTGGCATGATGTTCCCCACCCTGGAGGGAGCAGGGAGCGTGACTTCAACACAGCGGAACAGTGAAAATCACTACAGAGTGAGGGCAGCTTATTGGTTGCCCGGGTACCAGGTACCACCGGGAGCCTCTCGGGAGGTGTTACTTTGAATGGTCATGATAGCTCCACAAGGCGTGTATCTTACAGCCCCCTTTGCTGATGGGGAAGCTGAAACGCAAAGAAAAGGAGTGACTTGTCCAGGTTGCACAGCTGGTCACCGTGAGTTGACAGACAGTTGGATTCAGACCAACGTCTCTGGCCACTGGCACCTGGAGACATTCCAGAGGAGGTGTGTTCCCTTCCGTTGCTTCATTGATGAGGTCTGAGTGACCATCCCTGCTCCCTCCACAGCTGTCCTAAAACAAATCTGAAACCTCGGAAATCCCACCACCACTGCCAGCGCTGTTGCAGGGTGAGCTCACCTGAGGGCCGGGGCACCTGGGCGCGGCTGCTCCACTGCGTAGACCCACCTAGCTGCCACCCGGGTGCCCCTGCTCCACCAGTCAGTCCTGACGCCTAGTGAGTTGGGACACCGTGGTGGCATGTGCTGCTTCGCCCAAGAAGTAAAACCATGCTCTCTGGCACAGGCAGGGGGCCCTGGAAACACCGGAGGTGGCCAGGCGAGGTTTGCTTGTGACTTGGGGACACGACTACTGACACCAGGCTCTCTAAGATGGAGCCACAGATCAAAGGCAGTTGTTACCCTAAGAGGAACCGCTTTGCAAAAATGATTATAAATGCACCGCCTTTCTTCAGAGAAGTGTAGCTTTACCAACATCATCTCATTAACATTCATGTTATTAAGGGGACTTTTCTTTATCTGCTTCCCCAGGCTCTCTGTCCAAATCCACAATCTGCATTCTGATGTCCTGTCTCCATCCAGCTGGCCTCCACCATCCCATCTCCCTGCTCCATGTCCAAGGGGGATGGGCAAAGGCGGGCTGGGCTCACCTCCTCATCTCAGGAGTAGGCATAAACCCCATTACTTGCCCCCCGAAGCACAAGGCCGTAGGCTGTGGCCTTGAGGAATGGCTCGGAGGAGCTCCCGCCCACCCTCCATCATCACACCCTGCCGCCCTTCAGAGACCCGGGGGCCTTTAGAGAACAACCCGACTCCCCCTCTTACTTGATGGATGAGGAGCCAGGGTCCGGGGGGTGAAGTCTGCAAAACTGTCTAAGCATCTGTCTCTGCTTCCAAAAACAAGGGACCAGAATCCACCCCAGATGAGGCATTTTAGGAAGACTCATCAAACACCACCTGGGGGCTCAGGTGTCCTCCTCTCCCTGTCCCCCTCCAGCCGTCTGCTCCCTGCTCCCCCTTTGTCAAGAGGTGAATTTGGATCTAAGGCTGAAGGGTGGGCGAAGATACGAGGTCAGGTTGTGTGGTTGATTCTGTCCAGTTGTCATGCTGTGGAATTGCCGTGTTGGCTAAGAATGTGGTAAGTGGATTATTGTGTAGGCTTAGACATTGTCACCTCTGTGGCTGTCTTGGCCATGGGAGCGTGTGACGCTGGGTGTGCGGGGTTATTAGACCAGGAGATCTGTAATCTCTAAGCCACACTTCCTGCATTCCTGTCCTCCGTCAGGGGCAGGAAGGACCACATAGGAGCCAAGAACGGGTTCCCTGAAACTCGCCTCCATCCCTGGAAGACCAGCCTGAGCCACTGCTGGTCGGCGGGGTACATTTCAGGCTGTTCCGTTCCGTGCTCTGCACGTAGACTGTAGCGTAATGTCTTCAGAAAAGCAGATATTTAAACGAGTCTCAGGAAACTGGGCCAGATGTTTGCATGAAGCAGTACATGGTGTCTGGTGTGCAGTTATGAACCGCCCACAAGTCGTGTAGATTAAGAGAAAACTCACTGGAGTCATTGTGTGCATACGACGTCCTGGGTGAAGACTCAGAATGGCATTTGTAGAGCCCCGGGAGGAGCAGGTTCCTAGCAAATCCTGCTTCTGTAAATCTTTCGGCCACATGACCAATACGTTTCATTGGCTTTCACAATTTATACCATTTTAACCAAATAATCCATGTTCAATAAATAAAAATCATAGTAAACAGTTAACATTTCTTGACCACTTAGTATGTCTTGGGCATTGTGCCAAGGGCTTTATCTTCACCTGAGTTCATGTAAATGATAAAATCCTAGATAAATAATCAGACACTGAGTAATAATTTGTTTTCTCCTTGTGGTTGCCTTTTCAACTTAGTCTGTCATTATTGACCCAAGAAAGTTGAAGTGGCTCTGGCTATTAGAGGAAGTCTCTGACAAATCAGTAAATACCTCTCATGGCTAATGATTTACCTCCTCCAGCTGAATGAGGGGAGAGAAAGCTGTCAGCTAATTTCAGGCTACCAGCGCCCTGCCGTCTTCATCCATCGCTAATACCTGATTTACGATTTACTAGTATTTATAATCTATCCTTTAAATAGGAAGGCTAGCATTGGAGAGTTCTAGTTTAAACGGTTCTTCTGCAGTTCATGGAGATGTTAACTATAATCACAATGCCTACAAAGTAAAAATGAAAAACTCACAAGTACCATCGGTAGTTATTTATCAGAGAATCTCCATCACCAACTTATGTCAGAGTTGCCCAGATATAAAAACCCTGGAGGTTACTGACAAAACCTGTCATCAGTAAGGAAAATAAGAGTCACGGTCGCACACCCAGGAAACCCGTGGCTAATTTCAGTAGGTTTCTGTTTATTTGAATGTTGTTCTCACAGTCTGCAAAGGAACACAGTGCATGTGGAGGAAAACAGACCAAGTCTCATCATACGTGTTTTTAGAAACAGTGCCATCCAGCCCCCTCACTTTACAGTCAAGGCAACCGAAGCCCAGAGAGGTTAGGTGATGTGTGGAAGGTCACACAGCCACCGGGCAGTGGAGGTGGGACAACTCGTGTCTCCCAACTCCGAACCTGGTGTTCTTTTCCGTGCATCACGTCCCCACAACTTCACTCCAGGATTATACTGAACACGTCATTTTAAAGAATCAGAAATTCAGAGCCCAGATTACCAGGAGCCTGTTCCTGGATTGTACTCTTGTGATGTGAGGCGACTGAACATGGTGATTCTTCTTCTCATTTCCATTCCCCGTGAAAGACCCGGAGAGACGATGATAATATTCTTCCTGGCCATTTACCTAAAACGGTAGGTGAACCAGATGAATGGATAAAGGATGGATGGAGAAAAAGGAAGGGCCTTAATGTTTAAGTCCGTTCTCATCTACACATCAGGCTGTGACTCGTAACCGTGGCTGCACAGCATCCCCCGCCCCGGGGAGCTTTCGAAACTACACACGCCAGGGCCACACCGCAGGCAAATTAAGTGAAACTCTCTCAGGGCGGGGGCCTGGTGTCAGTATTTTTGAAGCTCCCCCCCCCCCGACTCCAGCGTTCAGGCAAATTTGAGAAGCACGGTTGGGGGACTGAATCATCGCCAACCCCAGGGGGGCAGTGGTGGTGATGAACTGTTCTTTCTCCCACGTTGATGTGGATGCGTGGGAAAGTCCGCTCACCTGCTGATCGTCTTCCCACGAGGACAGCATCGCCTCGCTACTCAAAAGTGTGGTCCGTGGACCAGTGGCATTGGTGTCACCTGGGAATGTGTTAGAAATGCTGACTCTCCGGCCACGCCCCCGACCTGCATCCAAACTAGCTTCCGGATACTGTGTGTGCCTAGCGTGTGAGCTTGATGCTGGTGCGCTGGTGGAAACAGGCCTCGCGGAGCTGCTGCCCAGACGGGCTGAGGAGGATTTTCGGACGTACCCCTCCAGTGACTGCGCTCACTAGCCCTCCACGTGCTCTCCTCAAGGGGAGGACGAGGGGATGGCCTGCCGGACGCGGGGAGCTGCCCGTTTACCTCCGCACGCTCTGGGAGCGTGTGAACGTTGTTGTGTTGCGTCTTATGGCAGAAAAAAAATGGACACAGCTGCCGAATCTTGACGGCGAGCACTTCCTGCCACATCCCTTGCTTTGTCTTCAGCTCACAGGCTGTGCTCCAGCCCAGGGCGCTCTGGGAGGCCGCCTCACGCTTCCCGCGAGGTGGAGCTGAAGGCTCCTGCCTGGTCATCCGGGTAGCGGGTGCCGAGCCCCCCCCCCCCCCACGCCGCCGCTCTCGGGGGCCCCTCCCACGCGGAGCCCAGGCGCCTGGCGGAGCGGGAACGTTGCCAGAAGCCAGCGTGATGCCGCACGCTGCCAGCGCCTTCTCCACAGACGTTTGTGGACTGAACGAACTCCCGAGGATGGCTTGTACTCACAGACGCTCTCACAATATCAAACAGTCTCAAGAGTTCCTTACAAACTCTGGGGTGAAAGCAGGAGCGGGAGGGAATGTCGTCTCAGCGCTCTTGTTGTCCGTTGCAATCCTGCGGGTCGGGAAGACCCCGCCCGACAAACGGGAAGCACGTGGAGAGACGCGGACTCTCCACGTGCAGTGAGCTTTCTGCTGTGATCCTTGTTTCAAATATGAGTTTCCTGGGGCTCAAAGAGGTCGGGTGGCTTGACTGTAAGTCCATAGAGTTGGCAAAGCCAAGTGCAGACCTTATGATTCTGGCTGAGACGTTCTTTTGGCCACAAAACAAACATAAAGCAGCCCAGGTCTCCCAAACCCCCATTCAACCCTGCACGTCCAGGGAAGTGAGAAACCATCCAGGTAGACTGGCCACTGCAGATCGAGCGTCAGTGAAGGGCTCTTACTTCCTTGGTATAAATCTCTCCTATAGTCTTATCTCATGTATCCGCTTTCTCAGTTCACCTTTGCCATTTAAAATTTGGGCACAAGCCATATATTGAAAGGCCCAAGCCTTGAATCTGATCGTTAGAAGACCGGGCTTCAGGATAAGGTATTTATAGAACAATCGAACCAGCCTAATTTCCCTAAGCTCTGCCAGCAGAGAATTTCCAAAGTTGGTAAACGATCTTGCGCATTCGAATAGAAGGGGAAAATCAAAATGAGACAGTGAAATTAAGCTCGAACTCATGAAGAATTAGCAGCGCTGGAGGAGAGATCTTCGTTTGGCAAAACGTCAACCAAAGTTTAGTGCTTCGGCGAAAGATGAAATTAAATATAGCTGCTAAAAACAGTATCAGATGTCTCACTCAGATATTTAATGTATTTTTCAAACTTGCCATCTATTTTTGGTAGGGAATAATTTTTTATTTTTAGCCAGCCTCGTTTGTTTAAAAAGAAAGAGAGGTTTAATCATTTTTGCTTAAACGTGATGAAGGAAAATTACACTTGTTATCTACTTTCATTCACTTAGTACAAATCCCAAAGGCCATGGCAGCAGTTAAATAAATAAATGAGGAAAAGACTGCTGCATGAGGTATAGTATTTATTTGTCTGTTGTAAATGAAGTTGTCATTCCTAAGCCAATCAAATCATGCATTTTTTATGAGAGGTTGCAACTTGCAAAGAGATGGAAATGTTAGACACTAATTAATAAACGTGGCTGGCAGAGCAACTCAAACAACTCAGGACTCGGAAGCTAAGCCGTAGAAGGATCTTTAGAATACGAACTTCAGGGGTGCTTTTCTGTTGATTGGATGAAATGCCTACACCCTGTCAGAAGGTTCACGATAAAATACAGTTGGCTTAAATTTTCCAGGTTAGTTTTGAACCAGAGGTTTTAAAGATTTGCTTGTTAGACAGGCATTGTGGTAGTGGCTTTAGTTTGCCTTAGACTTGAAAGGAAACTGGAGATTACTGGATAAGGCATCACTAATCTTAACAGAGCATGGAAGCTACTAAGAGTAGATTAAAAAAAAGTCTTGTGTTGCCCACGAAATACCCATTAACTCCCCAGCTGATTTAGAGGGTGGTGTTCTTTTATGTCACCCAGACCGTGTTTCATTGAACTGATACAGCTTGTAAATATTGCAGATGAATTACTGGAAAGTTCTCCAAGCCTTCCAAAGGAGATAGCCTGCATGACTTGAACATTCAGGAGCTTTTTATGGGTCATCTGAGAAGAAGATAATGCAGTTCCATTGCTGTGCGATATATGAGGTTGCACCGTGTGAAACTGTCACCATGCAACCGTGTTTAATCTATAGAAGTGGCAATTTCACATGATCAACCTAATAACTTGATGTATAGATAATTTCTATATAACATACAGCAGTGATAGTGACAAGGAAAATACCGTCTATGTGCATAGAAGGGGTCATGGTGCCTTTTTGTGGATAAACTCGTGGCAGAAGTACCAGTGAGAGGGAATTGTCCAGTTTGACCTGAAGAGAAGTGTAGACTGATCATGAGAACTAAGCCCAAAAAGGCAATTCGGGGGCAAGGCATGGAGTGCCTTGGAAGACAGGCCAAGGAGCTGGGGTTTAATTTGGCAGAGAATGGAAAGGTTTTGAGCAGGGCAGAGAAATGACACCTGCGTTTTCCGCAGACTTTCTGAAAAAGCAGCAGTGTGTACGGTGGTCCAAGAGGCAAGGACCAGAGTGGTGAGGAGCCCACTGCAAGAATGGAAAGGACATTTAGCCAAGGTAGATCTACAGTGAGAATTCCAAGAGGCAGAAAAGTAAGCAAATTTAGGGCCAAGCAAGGATGTCTGATCCATGTAGCGTCTGAGAATGGAGCGCCAGCAGCTGCTCCCATCCCCGAGGTGATGCTTCTGAGGCTACAGGCTCAGTCCAGCACTGACCCTTCCAGTGAATGACCAAAATCCTAGTGCCATCTGAGCAGGTTTCACTGTCAAAGGATATTTCCTGTGGGGATGGGGCAGGGGTGTGGCTGGAATTGTCTGAGCAGAGATCCTTCTAGGAAGCAGTACCAGGGGCTATCAGTAACTGAGCTGGGTCCCGGGAAGATGGTGGAGAGATCCAGTAAAGGAAACAAGTTCCCAGTTTGGCTGAGATTCCAAACTGGGTACAAGGAGTCCTGTGGGCCCAGGCAGGAGAGCCAGTTAAACAAAACGGGCGTCTCTACCCCGAGTGAAGGCAGAGAGGAAGGTACAGTACCCTGCGCTCACCAGCCTGCAGGCCTCGGTTCTTCCCGGCTCACAGGGTGTTGAGAACTGGGGAACACTGAACTTCCTGAAAACAGCTGGTGTTGGGGAGGGAACCCCCGCAAGCCTGGCAGGCTGGGTTCTGCTTCATGCCAAGGCCGCGAGAGAGCCAAGCCGAAAGTGGCTGTTACGGGCCAAGACTAATGTCAGAAAGAGAGCTGATTTTAAAACCAGGCTCATTTGTCCTAAAATGTGAGATTATATGAAGTTTGTGGCCTGTAAAATCGTAATATTGAAATGTAGGTGAGCTATCAGGTCATTAAACCTCTCCTCCGTGGCGAGGTGAAGCCCTGTCATTTCAGTATGTACTTTGCCTTGGCTCCGTTAGGGAGCATGTCTCATTTAGCATCTGGGTGACATCTGGAAGAGTGACTCAGAGCATCCATCACTGATTTTGGAAGACAGTTCCACAGTCAAAGCGAAATCACGTTTGAAAAGGATATCTGTATATTGGGTTTTTTCTTTTAGGTTTTTTTTTCTCCCCTTAACAGAGGCACTGGTGATTGAACCCAGGACCTCACGCATGCCAAGCACGGGTTCTACCACCGAGCTGTACCCTCCCCCGTATATTGTCAATTTCTGGCTTATCAAACGGGAGTGATGGTCACCCTCTGACTGTCTCACGAACTCCACGTGTGGTCTTCTGCTGTGTTTGTGGTAGTTGTAGCTTTGCTTTAGCAGCACTAAATCCTACACTCCTCTTCTCGTAGTAAGTCTTTCCACTCATCTCCATTTCCGGTCTTTTGTCGTTAAAACACGTAGACTCTAAACAGAGGATTCCAGACAAACCTAAGTACGGTCATTCCATTTTGACGAGTTTTGTTTTGCTTTTCAGCGAATTTCTTTGGGAGCTCACCTAACTCGATCAGTTGTTTATTCTGTCCCAAAGGCTAGTGCCGGGGAGGAAAGAAGCAAAGTCTTATCAAAGACATGGCTTTCTTTTCACAGTAACACTGCTAAACCCAGTGATAACGCCTTCTACTGAAATCACAGCTAACTAGGCACCAGCTCGGGGTTGCGGGTTAAAAAATGTCATATATTTACCTCTCTCAATAATATAATAGTTGCAAGAAAAATTAAACGAAGAAAGGATTAACGTTCTTCTTCAATTGCAGTGTTTCTAAAGGCGTGAGGCTCACGCTTAGTTGTAAGTTATTCTTTTGTTCACATTTCGTGCCTCTTACTCCAAGCCTATTCATTTTTCTTCTAATTAACAGAATACATAAAGCAAAATGGAAGCTTGTGTTATTATTTAGTATGAAAACATGAAACCTAATCATAGCTAATGAGTATAATAAACGCCGGCTGTACCTCCTCTTGTTTGTGTGTGTTTTACATACAGAAGGTAGCACAGGCTGGGGAACCAGGACGCCAGGCTACAGGTGGGCTTGCGAAATGCTGTTTGACAGCCGGTTAGAGCAATCTGTCAGAAATGATGACTTAATCACCATAACAGACTCCAACTCCCCTTGTAGCATTCCACCCAGAGTAATCTAATTTTCCTGCGGTATTTTATTTATTTTACTTTTTGCCAGGGCTGCATGGTTACCCTGCTTGGCTTTTCCCCTCTAGTGTACCACATGATGCTAACAGAGAGGTAAACGGGTTAGTGACATTACAGCTAAAGGGGAGCCTGAGAAGCCAAAAGCAGATACGTAATTCTGGAGTCTGTAGGTTGGCCTCCATCACTGGATCATACATGAAAAAAGCTGAGAGCAGTATTAGCTGTCTGCTTCCCACGTGACCACAAAGGCTGTTCCTTCCAGGATATCCTCTTAGGTTTTGAATGAGACCCTTTCCTTTTTCCCTCAAGGAAACCCTTTTACTTTGTAAAATAGTGATGATGATGATGATAATTTTATTGGGCAAATATTATCCAGACAGTGCTTTAAGCACATCACATGACTCAGTGGCTATAAGAAAGAAATAGCCATTTATTTCCACTCTAGCTTCCACCCCGCCCCACAGTTGTGATTTGCCATAGGGAGAGAAGGGATAAATTATGTTTCTTTGTTATTGTCATATTCACATCCCCTCTTCTTCTTGGCTTGGTAACTTTTATAAAAATATACATTGGCAAATGTTAGTTGCAAGTTTTCTGTGTACCTGCTCTGTTAACTCAGTTAATGATGATGCCCCAAAGAGGAATTTGGAAAAGCATCGTGACTCAAAGCATTGATGAATCCCTTACACTCTTCCACCAGGGGATTCGTGTCTTCAGAAGACAACTATGTGCTGAGTTTCGTCCAGAATTTCCAAAGCACTGTTCAGATAAACAGGCATTTCACAATCCAGTCAGCATGAAGCCAAAGACCAGGGCCTATGGGTTTAAATGCTGGACTGGCCAATATCTGCTCCACACTCCAATTGATTTTATAGATTCCGGTTACTTCTTTGCACTCACAGTTTGTGAAGAAACCACAAAATGCCAGATCAACTCATGTCAGTTATTCAAAACTATTATTTTCCTCTCAGAATAACCAACAGCTCATTTTGCTTATTACCAGTTTATTTCTTATTGACATACGTATAGAACATTTCGGATAATTTGGCCATGAAACAAACCTCACAGTCGAATTCCATTTTGCGTGTCTATTTTAAATAGCCTGGAGGGACTGTAGAAGGACCAGCATTGAATCTCCCTGGAGCAGCACACATAGTTCCTTTATAGTCAAGTGGCACCTAGATTGGAGCTCTGCTTTCCTAACATGGCTGTTACAGCTATGTTTTTTCTTTGAATCATTGCAGCCTTTTAAGTTTCCTTTCCTGCCTTTTTCATGGAGAAAAGCCAGACAATCATTTTTGTTCTGAGGCTAATTTAAAATATTTTAGTTCTTGCTTTCCAAACTGGATGCCTTTTATTTTTTTTTTCTTGCCTAATTGCTCTGGCTAAGACTTCCAGTACTCTGTTGAATGAAAGGGGCAAGGTGAGCATCCTTGTCTTTTCCTGACCTTTGAGGAAACGCTTTCAGGTTTTCACTGTTTAGTATGCTGTTATGTATGGCTTGTCATACGTGGCCTGTATTATGTTGAGATGCATTCCCTGTGTACCCACTTTGTTGAGAGCCTTTATCTAAATGGATGTTGAACTTTGTCAGATTCTTTTTCTGCATCTATTGAGATGACCATGTGATTTTTACCCTTTGTTTTGTTAATATGGTGAATCACGTTGCCTGATTTGCAGATGTTCAACCATCCTTGCATCCCTGGCATAAATCTCACTTGATAATGGTGTATGATCCTTTTAATGTATTGTTGAATTCAGTTTGCTAATATTTTGTTGAGGACCTCGTTGGGGATATTGGTCGATAATTTTCTTTTCTTGTGGCATCCTTGTTTTGTTTTGGTATCAGGGTAATGCTGACCTCATAGAATGAGTTTGAAGGTGTTCCTTCCTCTTCTATTTTGTGGAAGAGTTTGAGAGGGACTGGTATTAATTCTTCTTTGAATATTTGGTAAAATGTACCAGTGAAGCCATCTGGTCCAGGACTTCTGTTTGCTGGGAAGTTTTTGATTGCTAATTCAATCTCCTTACTAATAATCAGTCTGTTCAGGATCTTCTGTTTCATCATGATTCAATCTTGGTGGGTTTAGTGTTTCTGGGAATTCATCCATTTCTTCTAGGTTGTCCAGTTTGTCGTTGTGTGCGATTGTTCATAGTAATCGCTTATCCTTTGCACTTCTGTGGTATCAGTTGTAACATCTCTTTCATTTCTGAGATAGTCTTTATGTCTAGGATGGAAGAGGAAATTTTGGTAATCGTGTAACTTCTTAGAAACCGCAGTCTCACAACACAGCTGTCTGGATATGCTAGGGACCGGTATGGAAGAGTGGTTGGGGGTTATGCTCCAGCCGGAGACAATCCCAAATCTGAATCCCTGTACCACTGCTGACTTGCTGTGTGCCAAGATATTTAATATCTGTCTCCCTCCTTCCTTCCCTCTTCCTCTCCACCCCTCACCCTTTAGATCCTCAGTCACATCTATCTCAGGGTTGTTGTGAGAATTAAATTAGATAGTATACATATAAAGAGCCTGTAGCAATGTTGAGCACAGAAAAGACTGAGAGCCCAGGGAAGATTTCTTCAGTTTTCACCAAAAAGTGCCTAAATTCTCCACTTCACTTAACAAATACGGCAGTGAGCTCCAAAACCAGCTTTGTCCCAGAGATAAAATCTGGCTTAGACTGATCCAACAAGTGATTTTGGTCATCTCTATTCTTGCAGAAGTGTTTCATTACTTTTTTTAACTATTTTTTTAACTTTAAAATTATTAAAGATGGTTTGGCATGATGTCACCATTTTAAAAACTATTCGATAGTGACCAGTCAGCATTCCCAAAATTCCCTTTCGTTTCTCCCCAATCCTCCTTACGCAGAGCATAGCGCAGCGGTGGTGGGACTGGCAGAACTTCCTACCTAGACAGACAGGCAAGCCTCTGTAGCTCTGAGGGCACCTCACTGTCACAGCAGGTCCCTTGATAACGCACACTTCGGTTTGGAGCGATGGCATGCCTCCAGTTGGTAGCAGTTATTTTGAAACTTATTCTTGCCCATTTACAAACCATTTCTGAGAAAAATTCAGAAAGCGTAGGTGCCTCCAGTATCTCAGAGTCTGCTGTCCAACAAGATACAAAGTATATTCTGCAGGTCACATTTGCATTGTTTCATGGAGCAAAAGAAAAATTCCAGTTCACCTCTACTGGCTGAAGTCCATTAATTTTGTCATTTGGCACATGGTTTTTTTGTGAATTCACATCTTCCCGCCACCCACCCACCTCCACCCGATCCCGCAGTCTCCCTTTAAATATTTTATGGGCAGTAAGCTTATACGGCTGCTCTTTCTGGGGGTCAGTGTGGGTTTAATAATGAGACGTGTTAACAGTGCCTCTGTAAACTCCCTTTCAGGTTAAATATGGCATGTTTTATTGAATCTCACGTTCACAGTGGTTAAGTCATCCACTGGTGATGGCTGGGGTTAAACAATTTTCCATGTGAGTTCTCCTGGATGTGAAAAACTGGCCAAGTCGCCCTCCCCTGGGTCCTCCATCTCCCATTTTTTAATTGAAGCATAGTCAGTTTACAGTGTGTCAATTTCTGGTGTACAGCATCATGTTTTAGTCATACATATACATACGTATATTCCTTTTCATATTCTTTTTCATTATAAGTTACTACAAGATACTGAATATAGTTCCCTGTGCTACACAGTAGACATTTGTTGTTGATCATATTTTATATGTAGTAGTTAGTATCTGCAAATCTCAAACTCCAGTTTATCCCTTCCCACCCCTTTTCCCCACTGGTAACCGTTTGTTTTCTATGTCTGTGAATAAGTCATTTCTGTTTTGTAAGTAAGTTCACTTGTGTCTTTTTTTTTTTAATTCCACGTGTAAGTGATACCACACAGTATTCCTTCTCTTTCTGGCTTACATAGCCTGAAAGTTGAAACGAGAAAGCCTCTTCCTTTACAATACCTTCCCTACTCCGCTCAACAGATCTCCCAAAGTTCTTGGAATCATGAGATTTTGAGGAAGTCAAAACATTTTGAGAACAACCCCTGCAAATCTTTTTTTTTTTTTTGGTCTTCCTTGACATTTACATCCTGTATCTGATCAGAAATTTGTAACTCAAATGAACTTTATGATTATGAGCCATTCATAATACAGTTGTGATTGAACACCTCTCTCCAAGAAGGTCACGGTGCTTTACATACATTATCTAAAGTGTCTTGAGAACAAACCTGGAGTAGGGTGACCACCCATTCGGAATTCACCTTGCTCTGACAATGCAGATCTCTGGGAGGGTGACTTTTTTCTTCCTCTGGGCACAGGAAAGACCGAAACCAAGTTCAAGTCTGCAATGGCAGCAGCGGTTTTATTACTACCAGTGTTACATTCCTGAGCCTTCAGAAACGGACCTAATTCTCTGAGCAGCTGCAAGAAAGCCGGGAGTCAAGTCTCGGTGTAATTGCCACCAGTGAGTGAAGCCTGCAGTTCGTCACTGTGGGCTCATGAGTCCTAATCCCACGTTGGGCGTTTTGAAGGGGAAGCTGTGTGGTTTGGGGGAATCAGCACTGGATTCAGAGCAGGGAGCTTAGATTTCTGGCCTCAGCTCTGACATGAACCAGCTGTGTGTCCTTAGTGACGTTGCTTATTCCCTTCAGACCTATAAATTGAGAGCCTTGGATCAGTGATTCCCAGGGCCCTTTACAGCTTTGGGGTCAAATGCTTCTCTCCCTGCAGCTCCCAGATTTCCTCCTGCAGACCTCCGTGCACATCGCAGACGGATCTGAGTGCTCTCCACACTCTCTGTGCTGCTTATCTGCTGCTGGTCACCATCTTTTCTCCTTTATTTGTGTGTGTATCAACCAGTGTGATGGGTTGGCAGCTCCCTGAGGGCAAGAGTCCCATCTATTTCTTTTGTGTGTCCTGTGCCTAACGTGGGCACTCTGATCGCCTCTCTCCTGTTCCTTTAACCTGCGGCTCTCACCTGAGTCTTTTCAGCGTAGTGACCTGAACAAGTCTTTCCCACCTGGAGAGACTCCATCCCCATCTTCTATGGAGCTGCCTGTCTTTTCCCTCTTTGCTTGAAATCTTCTTGAAATAGGTGTCTGCATTTATCACGTTACCTTTGCCGTTTCGGCCCCACTGCCTACAAGCTGGCATCCTGGCCCCCCTACCCCACAGAACCTGCTTTTGATAAATTCCCTAAAAATGATTTGTGTTGCCAACTGCAGAAGGATACTGGGGCATGTTCATCATAGCATCTAGCGCCACCTGCTCTGACCACCTCGTTCTTGACACTCTCCCCGCGTGGCTCCTGTGCCCTGCTGTTCTGTTTCTGCTTCCCCGAGTCCCCTTGCTCTGTCCCTCTTAGATGCCTCTTCCTGGATGTCCTCCGCTGTCCTGCCTTTGGCTGTCATCTCTCCCTACTCTGAGTCCCCTCTCTGAACAGTGTCAGCCATGCCTGTGGCGTCCACCACCTCCCAGAGACCTGCTGACAGCTTGAGACCCGCATTGCCAACTCCACACCAAGTATAGCATGTCCTGACCTGTGCCCATCAGTCTACCTCTCCCCCCAAAAAAACTGCTTTCTTGTGTTTTCCCCATTTAGGCAATGATCCCACAAGATATTTAGTTGTCCTGCCTGCCCCCCCATCCCCACAACCACCCAGTTAGCACTGAGGTTTGGCCCATCTCCAGTTGACATGGGCTGTTTGCAGTAACCTCTTAACTGTCCTGCCTGCCTCCAGTGTCTCTTCTTCAATCCATCCTCCACGGGGCAGCCAGAAATGGCAAATTGGAGCTCATTGCTTTGCCGCTTAAATATTCCATGCCTGATCATTGACTTTTAGACAAAACTTCAGTTCCTGAGCACATGGGATCCTCTAAGGCCTGGATGCAACCGCCCTGCTTGCGTCTCGTGCCTTCCCCCACCCCACACTGTGGCCTCCCGCCAGGAGGAACTGTGTCCTTTCTCACCACCGTGTCTTTGCATGAGATGGTCCATTGGTTTCAAGTGCCCTCCCCTCCCTCTGTGGGCAAGTCCAGCCAGCCTTTAGGACTCAGTGTTCTCACCCTCCTCACCAGGCAGAATGAAGTACCTGCTCCCCTGGGCGCCCACAATACCTTTTCTGAAAAGAAGGGTCTATTTATGACCCCCCAACGTTCGTTTCTCATTCTAGTCTCTTCTCTACAAATTAAATTTACTAATGAGTGGAGGGAGCTGCGAACAGACCCCACACCTCAAGGCCTGTGTTTTCTGCATAAGACCATCTTGCCTTTAGAATGAAGGAAGCAGCTCTGAATGACCTGGCCTCTTGTCCCCCAACACTGCTCCCTCTTACCTCTTCCCCTTGTGGTTTGAAGACCCTGGCAGGAGTTCAGTACACATGGTCTCGACCCCACCTGGTAATCATTTCCCATCATCTAAGGGCTAGAGCCAAGTACCATTCTCCTTTCATTTAAATTAGATAAAACCCAGATCTGTGGCTGGCAAGTGATGGAAGTCCACTGGGGAAATTAAAGGGTCACAGAGAACAGGACCCATTATAATAAAAGCATTTGCACAGCCAGTGATTCCATCTACCCTGTGGCTTCGGTGTTCCTTGGGGTGTGGTGAAACAGGAAGCAGGAGGACCTGTGAAAGTCGTTTGAGGAATTTATTTTCATTGGGAGTGGTGGTAGCATTTCTGTGCTCTGAGTAGACTGCAGATCGTGCAGTTGATGTGATCGGCGTCGTGTACAGAGCCATAGAGCATCCAGTTCTGCCACGATTCAGGATCTTCGTACCACTTGGGTTCTCTCTCCTCCTCCGTATGTACACACTGAACATGATTGTAAGGTCCCTCCCTCTCCTCCTCCTCTCTCCTTCCCTCTTCCCTCCCTTCCTCTCTCCTTCCTTCCATCCCTTCAGTGGCTCTGTATTCCTGTCCCATACTTGGTTTTTAATTAAAATGATGGTGCCTAAATCAGTCAACTGTAGACCTTCAAATTACTTAGAACTCTAAGACCTAAGAAGCATCCAGGCAACAGACATAAAATGGGGGGAAGAAAAACAAAGACAACCTGTATTTAAATGTGTAATAATACAAAATAACAATGACTATTTTTTTTCCTATGCCCTGTTTATTAAGCATTTCACAGGCATTCTGTCCTGTCATTCTCATGGCCCTACCATGAGGGCATCCCCTCCATCTTGCAGATGAGGAAACCAAAGCTCAGAGAAGTTAAGACACTTGTCCAAGGTCACATAGCTGTAATGAATGTCGGGACCAGAATTAGCTGTAAGATCCAGGCAGAGACTATACTGAGTGGCAAAATCCAGATTTCGAACTTGAGTCTGACCGCAAAGCCCACATGTTTCGACACCACGTCACAGTGCCCCGTGACTTAAGCGCATCGTGAGGTTCCTGCCCATCAGACACATGTCTGCATTTTAATGGAGCTCATTCTCACTGGGAGGGGTCCTTCTAACAGTGTCAGCAGTGGAGTTGAGTAGTCTGGGGTTTCTGAGACTGTGAAACAGTTGTTCAATCTGCCTTTACTTTCTCACTTTTGTGTTTTTAGATGCATCATCCCATTCAGATGAAACCTGCAGATAGTGAAAAATCAAACGGTAGGTGGTAACCAACGATCTCCTTTAATATATGGGGTTTTTTTAAGTGAAGAAGTCAGGTGGGGTGGGAGGAACTGGCCCCAGGTGCTGCTTCTCTAGAGGAGGCAGAGGGAAGTGCTCCAGGCAGCTTCCGGCATGACTGGTACCTCCGGAGTACCGCAGACTTCACTCCTGCCTCCTGCATCTCTTCTGTAAAGATCTGTGAAGATGCTACAGGAGATGGTTTTATGTGGGAGTTGATCTGTGTGGTGGCCCTGGGCCTGTGGCTCCTGTCCACTCCTCCCACAGAGCAGCCCGGGCACCCGGTGGTGAGGGGTGACCTTATACCGGGCAGAGAGGGTGAGCGAAGGGCATTGCCCACTGAGCATTAGGCTGTCTGTTCTCCGCTCTCCTTTGGCTTTAGACTGTCTCCTCGCACTTTTCTCGAAGTCGTGCCAATGCATTTGCATCCAGATTCATTCAGAATTCAGCCTCTGATTAAATAAACATACGCTCAGTGCAAAAAAGTGTGCATTCGACAAGGTTGGTGAAATAATGGAGAACTGCCTCTCCAAGACACCAGAGGGTTGACAGTCACATTTCTCTCTTCTGAAGTTTTTGCTTCCACTTATACAAACCTTCTGTCCCTGTTTTGTTCTTCAGATCTACTGAAATGTATGCTAAAGGAACCTTCCGAAACCTCAGCGCTCCCCTGTCCCACAGGACTGACGCCGTCAGCCTGGTTTCTTTCCCACAGGCCACTGTGCACCTCATTAATTAGTAGTCAGGGCAGAAGCCACGCATTTAGGGATCTGCGTGTCTGCAGATGTAAATCATGACAGGGCTCGACCTCCCTCCGCAAGACACTTTTTGCTCATTGTAGTGCGGCCCATTTCCTGGCTCCACAGACTAGAAGGTTTTGAGGGAAATTCCATGTCGTACGGTGGTGCTGCCAGTGCCTGAGTGGTCCTGTGGTGGGGGGTCGGGGGGGGTCGACGCTGGTGCTTTACCCGCCACCTCCTTGCCGGCCCCACGCTTCTCTGAGCATCTCATTCCCATTTTCCCGCAGTACGTTATACAGACGTGGCAGTTAGGGTCGCTGGGGCTCAGGTCCACCACTGCTTGTTGTGGGATCTTGGTCCAGTCCCTTCTTTCCTTTATTGACAGTTACTCATCGATTACTTACTGTGTGCCAGGCGTGTTGCTGGAGCTGAGGTCACAGCAGTGAGTTGAAAAAAAGAAGGGGGGGAGGGCACCGCTCAGTAGTAGAGTGTGTGCTTAGTGTGCGCGAGGTCCTGGGTTCAATCCCCAGCACCTCCGTAGATACATAGATAGATAGACCAATGAATCAACCGATCTGATTACCTCCCCACCGACAAAAAAAAAAAAATTTTTTTTTTAAAAGGGACTGTAATAGCTCAGTGGTAGAGCACATACTTAGCAGGCATGCGGTCCTGGGCTCAATCCCCAGTGCCTCCATTAAATAAATAAATGAGCCTAGTTACCTCCCTCCACCCTCCCCCCCCAAAAAAAAACACAAATTAAAAGAAGAAGAAAAGGACACAAAAGAGGCTGTCCCGTACCTCCCAGAGCTCAGCTTGACTGCTGGTTTCAGTGTCTGATAGTCACTGAAAGACTGAACTTCAGTCTCCTCGGTCGTAAAGTAGTAGCTGCTTCTCACAGGGTAGCTTGCTTTCTTTTTCAGACCCACACAAGGTAGCAGTGCTCTGTGAAGGATCAAGCACTTCTACAGAATGCTGGTTAGCGTCACCACCCAGAGTTCTCCCTGGCCTGTCGGGGTCTGAGCGAGTGCGTCTGCCCGGGTGGAAGGCCGTATCCCCTGCCCATCTGCTCCAGAAGTGCACACTTACAGTCTGTTCTGTTCCTCCCGGGAGAGAGGAGGGACGAGTTTAGACTTTGTGGGGTGAATTCCATCAGTGAAGGTCACCTTAGCGCATCCGGCCGCCAGGAGATAGATGCTCCCTGTGCCTTGGCCCCGGATTCTCCATTTCAGGATGCGGGCCGTGGATGAAGGTCTGTGGAAGGGAGTTGGTCTGAAGCTTAGGCTGTAGTTATAAATGTGACAAATTAGAGAACCAAGATGAAAATGTCTGACTTCAAATACCCAAGTAGTTGAACCAAGAAAGGATGTCTTTGGCATTTTCTGCTGCGTGGGCAGGAGCCCTGACTGTCCCTGGGAGAGCTGCCGGGGGTGGGGGGGCTCCCAATGGCCAGCTGCCTTTGCTGTCCAGTGTTGACTCTGGACCTAGAACCACAGCAACAGGACAAAACTGCCATGGTCCCATGCAGTTTTGCACAGTCTCAAAAGCCAAGCAGGGTGAGATGCTATTTTACTAAGAAGGGCAAATACCTCAAAATGCCATTTTTCACGAAGCGTGTCTGGGTAGCAGATAAAAACTATTTGGAGGCACCCAGACTTGACCCCGGACCCTGCACTTACTGGCTGTGACCTTGGCAAGTCCCTTATTCACCTTGCCCAGCCTCCGTGTCTCCACCTGTCAGCGGGGCTAGGGTTGTGTAGTCTGAGCTCTTCCTGTAATGCCCACCTTATGAAGTCACCAAAGATGTGCAGGTGTTCCCTTAGCTTGATACCTGGCACGCAGCAAATACTCACTTTGCAGAGTTGGCGGCGTAACTCCAGCCCCTGGAAGCAGGCATTTTGGTGCATCCTCAAAGCAGAGGCCATAGCACAGATCTGGACATAGGAAGGAAAGACCCCCAGACCTTCCTGCTGGGCCAGCTGACCCTTGGCTGTAGAGGTTGACCTTCATTTTCTGAATTTCCAGTGGGGGAAAAAAATCAAATAATGTAATAGACCAAAAGCTGCTTTTAAAGAGCTCTCCTTTATGAAGCCTTGGGTGGAACCCCACCTCACATAGCCATGAGCAGACCACAGGGCTCTCCTTGGACTTGATTTGAGGAATCAGGAGAAATGTGTCATTTCACAAAGCCAGGGATAAGAGCTGCGAGCCAGTTCTGATTCCACATGGTATTTTTGACAGGTAAGCATAGCTTCCGCAGCTCAGAGCAAGCAGCGATTTCTTGGGCTCAGATGCTCTAAATAGCGCCAGTAGTTGTGAAAGACGCGTAACGAGCTCTAATTGCACTTTTGGCGGGGGGCAGTTTGCTGACATTTATGGATAAGACAAAGGGCTCATCACAGTTAGACAGCCCCTGTCTTCATTATCAGTGCGTTCAGATGTCTCAAACTTCATATTTGCTGAGCAAGAAAGGGCTGCTCATCGCAGATTAATTAGTGATGGACAAATGAATTCCAGAAAAGCAGTCGCTCTCGGAAGCTTTTGTCCATCTGGGGATTCTGAACCCTGCAGCAAGCCCAGAAATGCCCTTTTATCTGCCCGTCATTTTTATGTTGTACCGAATGGGCTTCCAAAATCTCCGTGGCTTCCTAGAACCCGCCCGTCCCGTTGGCTCTAGGTTCAGCCGCAGCCTCTGGCTCACTGATGCAAACTCACCGCCTCTTAACTTCCTGTTCTTGTGCTTCGGCTGTGCCAGGTATCCAAAAAAAGAAAAATCCTACTCTGGGTTGGCAATAAAATAATCAGGGACTTGAAGAATACATTGAATACAGACCCAAATTTCAACAACATACCCCTTCGTTGGTTATTTCTCTACCGTACCAAGTAGGGTTGATGTTACTCAGAGGAAGGGCGTCTGAGGAGGTGTGGACCATTTCAGGGGCACTCGTGCACACAGTCCCTCTGTTTCCTTCTCTAGACCATGGGGGGCACCGTTTTCCAGCTTTCAATCCTCTATCAATAGGCCGGGAAAGCACCCGGCTGTGCAGGATGGGAAGTAAAGGATCTGAAGTTGGTGTAGCAGTGGGTGGTAAGAAAAGCATAGGGGCCACCTTGGGTTCTGCACTTGGGTTCTCGGTGGTGGAGGGTGGCCAGAGCCAGCGTTCACTGTTAGGTCTGCTCCTGGCTTCAAGGATTAGTTTTCACTCTGTCGACAAGAGTGTAAGGTCCACCCTGCTTTAACCTCCAACCTCGCAGCTTGTCAGGGGTCCTTAGACCCTCGAATCCAGAAAGGCCATTTAAACCTCACTCTCCTCCAGGGCTCTGAAGCCCGTGTCAGCCGAGCGTCAGAAGAGTCAGGATAACTGACACTGTCGGGGAGGGCGATGGCTTGTGCAGGGAGAAACCACGGGGCGTTCCCGGGCAGTCGCTTTCTGATGTCCTGCAAGATGAAGAAATGATTTTGAAATTCAAAGCAGAGAGACTCGTGGATTTGGAGGAAGTAATTAAATGCCATATGTTAGCACTAACACACTGAAAAGCTGTTAATGAATTCAGGCCGCCCCGAATCCAGGTGTGACTTTGACAGATTGTACACCAGGGTGTTAGTACTGACTTAAAATTAAGAGTTTTTTTAAAAAATCAAGTTTCCAGTTCCTGAACTTTAAAAAGTCCCCATGTACATTTAAGATTAACCCCTTCTCATTTATACCTAGGAAGGGGAGCAGGCGGTGGTCGCTGGTATGAAAGAACTTTCAGTTCTGCTACTGACATTAACCCCACCTGTGCCACACCGGGTACCTAAAAGTACTTCCCCTCAGCTCATTCATTGGTTCTTCTGAAGGAAAATAGACTTTCCTTAGAGGGCAAGGGCCTTATCTTTTCATTTCTTTTTTTTTTTTTTCAGTTCCTCTAAAGCATTTAGCAGAGAACTGTGACCATGGTAGGTTTGTTTAAGCAGTTGGCATTCTTGTGACTGAAAAAAAAAAAAAGAAAAAAGAGTGAAATGCTTACTGCCTGTGAATTCTTAGGAAAGACCCACCAGGAAATTCATCCAACATTGATGGAAAAGTTAAATGAATTCAAGATAATTATGTTTATTTAAAATGTAGACAAAGCTGTTTAGCCATCCTGAGAATGGGAATCCGAGGAATGAATTTTATGAATAAATTTTCACCGGAAGAGCAGGAGAGCTCCAGGGAGAGGAAAGCTGGGTATTTGTACTTATTCCCATTTTGCCCTTAAAACAAACAAGACCCAACTGTTAAAACCACAGAGCTACTAGGGCTGCAAAAGATTGCAAACATCCAGGGCCCTTTGTACATGCACACACGTACCCACGCACACAAGGAGAAAGTCTGCACCAGCCCTAAGCTCTTCATTTTTCACATCGTTCCTGTTACCGACAACAGTGAGAGTTACCTCCCATCTCCCTGCCTGTCTGAGTTACCCCTCCGTGGTGCCCACGAAGTCTCACTCTCTTCCTAAGTGGCTTCCTTTTGCTCATACTCATCTTAGGAAACAGTCCTTTTTGACCTCACTCAGGAGCTGCACATCTAACTTACCGTAGCCTCCCCCGAAACTCAAAGCCTGAACATTTTTTGCTAAATACTGTAATTGAAGATTTACTGGGGAAACCAAGGGCCACCTGGGACTTTATCATTTGCTTTTGTTTAAAGGAACTGAAACCTGATTCTTTAGGACAGAAGGAAAATACAACAGGAATTTTTTTTTTTT